ACACACACACACACACACACACACACACACACACACACACACACATATATATATATATATATATATATATATATCATCAGTATCTTTTACTCCCTGAGAATCATTTTTTTGCATATATTGGGAAAGATGAAGCTATTGGAAAAGAGCTGGGAAATGAACTAGCAAGACACATTGAATGCATTTCTCTACCAGCACATAGGTTTTAGGAAATAATACAGACATAAATTGAAGGTCCAGAAACCTGAATTGGATTTAAAAATAAGAGTCTGCCTATCTTTTAAGAATGCTATGGAGGCAGTGATGGCCCATGCCTTTAATCTCAGTACTTGGGAGGCAGAAGCAGGAGGATCTCTGAGTTGAAGACCAGTCTAAACCCCACCCCGGCCCCAAATACTGGAACCCTATTTTGAGGAAACACACTCAGACCAATAACTTGGTAAACTATAGATCATCTTATGGTAAACTTATTTACATCATCTTACAGGAGAGACCTATTTCAAGAAGTTAGGCTTCATTGGGTCAAGAATAAGAAGCTGTGACCTGTCCTCTTAATATTTACAGGTGAATCATCTTAGATTGTCTTCTTAGTACTATTAATCACACTAGTTTTGTTTTTGAGACAGGGTTTTGTTTTGTAGCTGGCTGGCCTCAAATTTGCTATGGAAATCAGGCTGGCCTTGAACTCACAAAGATCCACTTGTGTCTGCTTCCCCAGTGCTGGGATTAAAGACCAGCACCATCAAGCTGGGCTAACTTCAAACTTGAGGATCTAATGATAAGTATATATACTGATTTCCTTGGCCAATGTGTCCCTCTTCAAAATTATTATTTAAGATCGTAAAAACTAGACGAGACATAAAGGCAAACAGATCAGCAGTTCAACACACACACACACACACACACACACACACACACACAGAGCTATATACTGTCAAGTATCAACTGAGGACTTAGCACCTAGTCCCCTACAGCCAGAGGCATCTGGAAGGTTCAGACTTAACCTGGTCATGCTTGATGATTGCGGTGGGAAAAGCAAGAGGAAGAGAAGAGAGGGCAAGCCAACAAAAAAAGGAGCTGAGGACCAAGAGATCAAGATTGAGCCAAGAGAGAAGAACCAAGAAACCCCACGGCGAAAAAAAGGAAGGAAGGAAGGAAGGAAGGAAGGA